CTGTAGACGCCAATTTCGACGAAAGTGTTCTTAAAAAAGGAATAAACAGGAATGATACATTATTTTCTTTTACTACTTACATCTAACAGCAGGAAGAAGATAATTTTTAAGTATATTAACATAATATGGACCATCAAAATTTGCATCGAAATGTATGGCAAGTCAATACACCTTTCATACTTATTGCACCCCAAACATAGACTTTTTTGATACTTTTTAGATATACATTTTAGTTCATTATTAGAATGTTTTATTCAACGACGAATATTATTACGAAAAAGTTGAAATGAAGATTCATCTGTAAATATTGTATGTGTAAAATCATCATCTCTATAATGTTTAGTCCACTGTATACATTATTTCCTTTGATCAACTGTTAACATATGATTAGTTTGTGGTACGTAAAACATTTCTATAATCGGATTCGTTTAGATGACGGCTTATTGTTGATGTGGATGCTGATTTTTAGTACTTTTTTGATAATTTTTGTTTTAAATTTCCTTACGGATTATTTCGAATATTACGTCGAAGAACAATATCCACCTTGATGTTTGAGTGAATTTTTTTTTTGTTTCAATTTATTAATATTGTAATAAATAGTTCTCAAGGAGATATTTGTTTCACGATGAATAAAAGAAGCAGATCGTATGCCTTTGTTTCAATAATATAAAATTGAGATATGATGAGTTTTTAAGTCACAAGACGACGTCATAATTAAATATATATGTATCAAAAAGGAAAAAAATCACGCTCTTGCATGCTCAACGTATAGTGTATCTACTGATGATTCATCATTAGAAAAATGAATTCTGTAATTGCCTCTAACGACTAGAAAAATTTTTAAAAGAAATATTTAATTTTGTGCAATCTTTTGCAAACATCTGTATATTATATTCTAACGATCTTTAGAGCATTAAAAAAACGACATAAAACATAAATAAACTGTTTTCAATTTGTTTTATGAACAAGAAAAGCACCTGTTGTGTGAAATACGAGATGTAATGTGTATTTCATTTGAAAACAAAAAATTCAAGTTCGATTTGTTTTTTCCACATATTCAGTGTTGATCTTACACAAAGGTGGTGAAATATCTAGATGAAGACCACAGGAAACTCAATATTCCACTTCTATCACGGTTGAGTTTTCTCTAGAAGCGTTACCAGACATCTCCGTCGGTTTATAAACATGGCTTGAGCGCGAGCCATGATGAACACACAGAAAGGGAGGGTCAGGAACCATCTCGACAATTGCTCTTGGTAATAACTTAGGATTCTGTTTAATTATGCTTCTATTTGATGCTCATTCTCTGTACTTATTTAACTTCTTTTAGTGGTAAGATTTTTGAGAAATGGGTCGACAAAATCTTGTAGTTCAGCTCAAGGCATCTTGAAGGTTGCCTTTCAAGTTTCGACTTGAAATTTTGCACAAACAATGTTCTAAATGGGACGTATTCATTGTAAGAGCTTGAGTCGTTTTAGTTGTTTCAGTCATAAGATACGAACACAAGCACAAAATTTGCTGTGCCACACAACAGAATTTACAACACTTATATCTCATGACAGAATCAACAAGAAAAACTAAAACTTTCAAAATGAACTAGTACTATTACGAAAATTATTTGTGCAAATTTTCAATTTAAAATTCGACAGTCAACTTTAAAATTGAACCGAAAGGAATTAAAGAAGTTTTTGTTGAAAAATTCTGTTAAAATTCAATTTCGTAAAAACGGAAATCTTGAAACCTAAATCATTCTAGACTATTTCATCGTTTGCTAGTACTCATCGAATTAATATAATCTCGATTCAAAACTGAATTAGCACATGAAGAGGTTCCTTCGTGAGCTATGGACGTTTACCGATAATAACCGCACAGTTGGAAACTGTTTATAGATTGCCTTTAGAACCAAACAATGGATATAAAAACTTTGAAAATGTATATGAGCTTGTATTATTTTCTTTTTTGAAGCTTTGTCATTCTGAAACATAAATAATCATAGTAGAAGTCAATTGAGATGAGTCTGTTTTGAAGTTTAATATTTTGGATAATGTATATCCATAAGATTTTAGATCAGCATCTTTGCATATCCAATCAAGTTGCGTGATGACATGCTCTATGCGATTTTAAATTAAAATTATAATAAGAGTCCCGAGAAAGTCTGGAAAAAGAATTACATGATTGACCGGATATTATTTTTTGTTATATTATGACTAACTTTTTAGATCTAGTAGTGTAGTGCACGAGTACTCGATCCATGAATTTCATTACTCTAACACATTGTTTGTAGTTTAATAGAACGACCAATCAACTATGTGATCAAGAATATCGCTATTATATAGCAGCATTAACAACATATATTTTCGAATTTCTTATGAATTGTTCCGTTAAAAATGAAGTTTGTGTCGTCACAAATTGTTACTTTTCACACTCGTACCTGTACGGATATCCGACTTGTGGGTCATAGTATTCTAAGCTTTAGTGGAACAGAATGAACTTCAAAATGTCTGAGAGGCCTATAGTAAATTGTAAATAGATAATATTGAATAATTGTATAATATAAAATGAATGTAATTAGAACTTCAATTTGAAACATAAATTTTACTTGTAAAGCTTTATTAGTCATATTCACCTATTTTACTTACTTTGTAGTAGCTGCTGCAAGACGACTAATGGCTTGCAATCAGAATCTAAGATACAGTTAAATGCAAAATCGTAGCAACTTTTATATCAGCTAAAACTTAGGTTCAGACTTCAAAAAATTGATTTTGTCGTCTGGCTATCCACTGTTCGAGTCTCCTCAACTACATTTTCTGGCTGATGCTACTACATATCAGCTTCCTACATTTTTTTTGCTGATTAATAAGTCGTTTTTTCAATTCATATTAAGTTTGTGTACGATTTTATTTGATATCATATCAATTAAAACAGTTCTATTGTATATTATGTGTTGAATAATCCAAAATATTAAAAAGACAATCCTTTTTATATTCATATTGATTTCATAGGAATAATTAAATCCAATAAAACTTATCGATAGTTTCATTAAAAAAAAACAGAAGCAAATTATTTTGTTTTCTTTCGTCCGAATCTTATTAATCATGACTATCGTAAACTAATACACTTTAATAACAAAACACCGAGAATTTTAATTATATATTAAAAAGACAATATTTAATCTAACGATTACACTATTCAAAACGATCAATCAATGTATTTCTACTTCATATTCAAATATTCTTTTGGTAAAATTCTCATTCAGTATTATTAATTACTCATGAGATATATGCTAGAATCAATTCTTTTGAGAACATTCTTTGTCAATGTCAACTAAGATCAACAAAATTTTCTAATATAATATTACATCATACGGTCGTCTAATCAATCTTTTTCTTTTTATGATATATAATAATTTCACATTGTTTTATGATCCATTTTTTTTGTTAATGCTCATGTTCTAGTCGATTACTGATAAGAAATAATTCGTCTAATAAATCTTAATTAAACATATAAATAAATTATTTCATACAATATTTTATTTCGACATAAATGTTCATGATGATATATATATATATATATTCAAAAGAAAAAAGCTTCTGAATTGAAAATTTATGCAAATCTTGTTGGTACACCCCATAAACCAGCAAGATTGGCTTTTGCTTGTGCTCGTCGTTTTGATATTTTATCATAAAGATGTTGAAGATTTTCATGATTATAAAACTCAGGTAATATTTTTTCAAAATTATCATTATATATGTAATCATGAGTTTGAACCGAATTTTGATTGTTATTAACCATTCCATCAGATGAATCTTCAACAATAAGTGGATTTGCTAAAATTTGATGTGAAATCACCATGAACAATAACTAAATAAAAGTAGAAATGAAAATAAAGATATATATTATTTAAAAAAAAAAAGAAGTTTATGTATACTTGTATGCAAATAAGTTGAATAAAAGTCATTGTTTGTTTTGCTCTTAACTTGTAATGACCAAGATTTCTAAACGTACTGAAATGAATTTTTGAAGAATAATGTTTGTTTTTATATGATAGACAACCAGAATTTTTCGTTGCGTAAATCCGTTTTGAAATAAGATTTTTTTCTTTGTCTTAGATGAAAATATTAATATAATAAAATATAACGGAAATTATACATGTAAGAGGAAATAACAAAATACATTTCGTAATACGTTATTGATTCGAAGTTTTTTTGTCATAGTTTGAAAAAAGATACTCATATATATATCATTGTATAGTAAAAAAGTGTCTATTCAATGTCTTGATACTTCGAAAAGAGAATAGACACACTTAAATCTTAATTATAGTATATGAAAATATTGAAACTCAGTAGCGAGCAATCAAATAGTTATTTTCTATATAAACAAATATCAAGATCACTTGTTTATCAATCAATAGTAAATGAATAAATATTTATCTTTTGCTTTCGAAGAATTTAATTGGAATGTTTTATCAATATTCAAATATATTCGTTTATTATCATTGTTTTGTTGTTTTCTTTATTGCAAAGTTGAATATCAACTTTCTGATAACGAAATTCTTTCTAAAATATTTGCATGATAGTTAATAGATTTCCTTTGTACGAACGTCACCATTCATCTTAATTACTTTTTTTTATTACGTATGTAGTACTGTAGTATGAAAAAAAGATTATATATAAAATTATAATTTTCTTCGTTCAGGTGTTAACATATAATGATTATGTTCATTTTGATTTGTATGCCATTGCCATACAAGCAAAAAAGAAGTTTGACCGATCTTATTTAAGTAGTAATGACAAACAGAATGAATAAGAGGAAGGGAAAAAATCTGACCACCCCTCAATAGTTGTTATTTCAAGTTCATATCTTCTTCTTCTTCTTGTTCTTCTTCTTCCCCATTTGCATTTATGCTATAGAAATCGTCATTGTATAGTGAACAGCTGTTGAGCTTCCCCATACTATGCATACATATATATGAGACGAAAAGTAATATTAAGAAATAGATAAACAACAACAAAAAACTAATAGCAACCTTTGTCTTGACCAGCATGACATCGGTCATCTTCCATCAATATGAGATAAGAGGATGTGATGAGATGATGATTACTCGTCAAATTTGCCTAGCAGACGTATGCCAGTCTAGCGATAGAGAACGGCGCATGTCTATCGCTTTCATTCACCCTTTCATCACACTTGATTGAGTGTTATTCATCTTTATGTATGATATCAAATAATTTGGTTTTCATTTTCTTTTTATGAAAAAGAAGAAGTGTTGAAAAACATATAATAATGAAATTCAACAAGATCGTTTTTAATCATTGTATATTTAATGATACGCAAAAATCGTTCGCCTTCGGTACAATATATATACATATATAGATGAATATATTTTTTTTTACTGGCACACTATTAATCGTCCTGAACAACGTACGTTGTCGTCGTCATCGTTGAAAGAACGATAGTTGTTGTTGTTTCTACTATTGCTTTCTCTATCTCACGGTTAATTATGTAATATGATGTGTAATTATGCTAAATGAAACAATCTCGGGACCTTACACAGAACGGGTTTCTTTTTTCACAGCAATCAATTCAAGTTCTTTTGTTTTCAATTGTAATATATTGATGGATAGTATGATGAAGAAGAGACATAAAGACAAGAAGAAGACATACATCTAGTCAACGGAAATGATAGGGATTTATAGTCTTTCTTTCTCGTAAAAGGAAATCGTGCATGTACAATATGATGATGATGATAATTGCAATGGGACAATCGACCACTTTGTTCTTCCGAGCAGAACAGTAATGAACTATCAGGCTCGTTTGTCATTTAACCAACTCTTGTGTCGTTGTTCTTTTTCTGTCGCTCTCTTTCTTATTTGGTCTTTTTTCTCGATATATATATATGTATATACTGTGTATAAAGCATTGAGATAATTGTTCTATGTCGTATATAACATAGTAAAAGGAAGGGGCGTAGACAACGTCAATTGATATTATGCATGTAAGGATTTCTTTTTATCTTTGATGCAACGGAAAAGAATCTTTTCTTATTCTTTGTGATGCATAAAAAAGAAAAAAAAAATAGAAGGTAAGGGTATTGATTTAATAATGAAACTGATTAAAATAGAATAATAGACCTTGTACATGTCGATCGGATAAAGAGAAGGAGAATAAGAGTTGTGTATACACAATGACATACACTCATAAAAACAGTTTGAAAAGGTCGCTTGTTCGGCACTAATGTGTTCTTGAATGAGTAAGTCAGTGCATAGTCGAATATAGGGACACATGCTGTGATCACTAAATATCTAACAAAAGAAATTTTTTTGTATGATGAAAGGACAATGACTGGTCGTGTGACCTACATTCAATATTCTAAGTATTCTCAAAAAGGAAAAAAAAAAAAGTAATCTTGTAAAGATCTTTTTTTTTCTTCTCCATTATTTTTCTCATTGTCTATTATTACATAATTTTCATGTCAATGAGAAATTGGCTGACATCAGTTAATCAGAATTAGCAGACTGATTGAGTTTGTATGACATCCGAAATGTAAAGAGATAACAACCTTGGATATTGTTGGTTAAACAAACACATAAAAAAAAGAAAAGGAGAATGATACGATATACACTAGAAATTTATATTCAGAAGCTTTTATTCGTGCTCATTTCTTTCTTGCTCTTTTAATAATCGAATATGTATGAATATATGTATAAATATTTCATAAGTATACAGAGACGTATATAAATGTAAACTTATATTGCTCCTATTTGGATTCAGTTTTTTTTTTGGCATGTTTAAATCTTAAGCAGTAAAATGTAAGTACTATGCTTAAGGATAGTCAAATTGTTTGCGTTTGCATTGAAGGTGAAGAAAGTGTTTATTTGTAGCGTTTTTTAATAAATATACAAAAAAAAGGAGGTTCAGCTGCTTCTTCATCGTTTTTCTTTTTCTTTGTGTATCTCGTTGCATCATATATGCCATCGGTACCGGACCAGATTTCTTTCTTTTCATCATTTTCTTCGTCTTCTTCATTTTTTCCTTCTTAGTCTCCTCCGATTTTTTTTTTCTTCTGTGCTTTTCATGTTCAACATGCGCTCTATCACAAACTAAAAAAAAAAGTAAGTAAGTGAGCTCATAATGCTTTTGACCAGAGGTCAGCAGCAGCACGACGCACGACTCAAACACTTATAGAAGGGTGGGCGGACATAGTAAAGGAGAGAAAAAAAAAGACGCTGCACCAGCAGTACAGTAGCAAGAATAAGAAGAGAACAAGAAGAAAGAATTCTTCCATTTGGTCTCCTTTTCTTACTCTCTCTCTCTCTCTCTATCCACAACTTTGCTCTACGATCGTACATGCATCATACCACGTACAATCCATCGCCAGTAAAGATATAGATAGGCATAGCAGTAAGACAGATACAATCAGTCATTCAGCTGGAGGTACCATCATGTATGTATATTATGTGAAGAACACAAGAAATAGTCTCTAAAGGTTTGTTATAGTGTTATTGTCTGTTTTTTCTTTTCCAAACAAAATATTTCTTAGACATTGATCGATGAAAAAAAAGAGTCAAAGAAGCATTGAAACCTATAAGATCACGTCTTTTAACTTTTATGATTACGACATACAAGTTTCAAGTTGTTGTCACACGAGATTGAATAAAACAATGAATTCGTTTTGAAATTTTGACCACTATGCGATAAGATTACCCTTCGAGCTATCAAAATCGATGAAATCATTGAATATCAATACTCTCAACTCCATTGTGTCATCATATCAGAAGAAAAAAGAACAAAAAAAAAAGCCGAAATAGAAGTTTCCTCTAGCTGCATTTTTTTTTTTTTGTATTTATTTTAGTATGGCTTCAAATCGTTTCGGATATATATTTGAAAAATCCTTTCATTTACATCGTATGAATGATTGTGAAGATCTTAATTTATATTATAGAAAATTTTTAAATAAATTAAGTAAAATATGTTTAAAAATATTTCTTCCATTATTACCATTAATTTATTTATTAACATTATTTCTTTGTCGATTATTATTAAATAATCAATTAATAATTATATTTGATTTACGTACAATACTTTATTTAATAGGCATTTTTTTAACATTCATTTTATTATTTCTTATACGTTTACATACAAAATGGAAAACACTTTGGTTTTGTACAAGAATTTTTTTGATATTACTTTTAATTATTCCATTAATTTTAACATATCAAACAGAGCAATATCATATATTATTTTCAACAATATCAATAACACTTATTTATTCATTATTAACATTTACATTAATACAATCATGTATTATTTGTTTAACTATATCAATATTACATACAGGTCTTTTATTAAATCAAAAAAATCAAATACAATGGAAAAGTTTAGAATTTTTATCAATCATTTTTTATCATTTTATTATAAATATATCCGGTCTATATACATATATAAGATCACTAAAACATATACGTCAACATTTTCATGCATATGAAATAAATTTATATGAAAAAAATAAATTAAATGTTGATTGTAAAAAATTAAATACAATTATTGGACATTGTCAACAAGCACAACGTTTTATTGGACGTTTGTCAAAATTATCAAGTGGATTTAATATCAAGTAAGATAGATTTTCCTATTCTACTCAATAGAGTTAGTATTTAAATATAAAAACATGAAAAAAAATGAGTAAATGAACAACAGCTTGAAGTAATGTATGTCTACATGACATTTTCTTATGATATTATAATCAATCGACCTTTTAATAAAAATGAATCTCAATTAGGATCTAATTTTTATGATTAGTATTTCTTTTTACTACACACTTGAAACATGTATACTTTTTCTTAATGGAAATTATTATCAAAAGATCTTGTTAATGTATCATTCAGATCACTGAGTTCTCTTTATTATTCTCTTAGAAATTATCGTACATTAATATAAAAGTTTTGCTTATGATTGTTATTGATAAAGGGCAAAAACTATCATAGAATTGATCAATAGTGAAAGACATGACAAGTTTATAAACAGATAACAAAATGTTTAGTAGATATTACATAATACAAACAATGAGTTTAAAATTATCCTAATGTCCTCTGTCTATTCNAAGATATTATCCGTCCGATCATTATACTATCAAAACGCGTTTCAACGATTATTTTGTGATTTCTGGTTCTCGAGATCATCGTGTCAGAAAATGCCGAGAGAAGATGCGTACGTCAAGTAAGGAAAAAAGAAAGAAAAAAAGTAAACTCGCGACGGACTACATAAATGCTGTGCTTCGCACCGCATTAAAAAAACTCGCGCCCGACTACATAAATGCTGTGCTTCGCACCGCATTAATAACAACTGTTTGACCTCTCTATAAATGATGTCAATGTGTACTTTTGCTTTTGTTTTCTACTTTTAAACGATTGGAGGAAGTTTTTAACGAACCATAAAACTGTCCGAATGAAACTAAATCATTGTTTAAGAAATTTCTATTTTGAAGCTAAATGAGCGAAAATAATTCAAGTTTTACTGAATCGAAAAATTCATCAGGAGAAATTGGTTATGAAAAAGAAAATGCCAAATTAATTGTATCTGAATTGATTGATTTACTTAATGATGAAAGATCATATCAAGATATTGGAATTGCTACTGAAATAACTAAAACTGTGCATTTATTAATAAAACAAGGTGGTTCTCGAAGAAAAGAAATTCTTGCTCATCCAAATGTGAGTAGTGTTCTTCGTTGTTAGGTTTAAGCACGTCGACAAAAGTCGACGTGATTATAGTGAAGAAAAATTACTCTTTAAAGTCATGTCGGCTCAATTCTTTCTTCCATTTTGAAAAAAGAAAATATTTGCAAAAGAAAAGAACAATCAACCTTGAAAACTTGCCCTTGTATTTGATACATAATCGGATTTTATATCGTATAGGATTTATTATATTTTGGTACTCAAAACAAAATAATTGATAAATAGCATTAAGTAATTTGTTTATCTCGGTGTTAATCTTTTTTCTTCATTAGTAATTTTTCTTTGTTTTTGATCGAAGATTAGAATTAAAATAGAATCTTATTCATACTAAAACCGAAAGATAATATTAATTTTACCCAAACGAAAACTTTTTTGAAGATTAGTTTAAATCATAAATAAAATCTATTATGAAACATCTTGATTCGATACATTAATAATTTCAAATAAGAAAAAATTTTCAATCCATGTTATATTAAACAATTTCTATTCATGTTATTTTTCCATTGTTCAGTTGATAACATTTTTAATAAAATTATTCAATACCGACAATGATCTAACACGTTTATTGGCTAGTTTATTTCATGATATTTCAATTGAAGAAGATGGAATCCGATTATTACTTCTTACTGGTGTCATACCAATTTTTCTTCAAACACTTGAGTATATAATTAAAAAAGATATTTATTATCTTATCGTTTTCTTTGAATAGATCTTTAAATGATGATGTCATCAATTTTGTGCTTACAACACTTCGTAATTGTCTAATTGGTTTAAATAATGAAGCAGCGAAAGAAATTCAAATACATAATGGATGTATGACTTTTATATCATTACTTATTCATCGACATTCAAATAAACAAATGAATTTTCTTGCTGATTGTTTATTACGTTTAGCTATGTTTAATACAAATGCACAAGTAAATAATTAAAAGAAAATACAATTAAATTCAATTAATATAAATTATTTATTTATGTCTTATTTTAGATTTATTTACAAACAAGTAAATTATTTTTACAAGAATTAGTTACTATACTTGATGAAACAAATTATAATAAATTATCATTTACATTAATACGAATGCTTCCATTATTATCATCAAATATACATACAAAATCTATATTAATACAATTTAATATAATAACAATACTCGAACGTATTTTACATATGAAATATGATTATAAAATTCAACGTTATTGTCTATTAACGCTAAGAAATTTATCAGATCAAATTATTCATATGGTAAATATGAATTAGTTTTTGTTTTTTATTTTATTTTATTTTATTTCTTATTTTTTTTAAATATTTTAAGGATAATTTTGATTCATTAATTGTTACACTTATACAAATACTTTCATTGAATAATGATATGCAAATAAAAATTTACATTGTTGATATTTTATCTAATTTATCATGTGAAAATCAATCAAATAAATCATTAATGATACAAAATAATATTATACAATTACTTGTTAAAATTATTATTCAAAATGATGAAAGAGATGATATCATTGAGTCAACAGTAAGTAGAAATTTGTATTTTAATCGAAAATTAACAAAGAAAAATAAACATATATGAGCAGTTTATTATGAATATGAGAAACTTAAAAAGTTCGACATTAGTTGTGCTCAATATTTTATTCAATGTTTTGGGCTAAGAGAATGATACTCCTTCGAAGATCAGGTTGATACCCACGAAATTTTAAATTTACCCTTCTGGAAGAGTAAAATCTCAACAAAACACTAGTTCTCTTAAATCTATATACAGAGCATTTTCGAATTCTACCAAGAAAAGAACATGAATAACTTTTGAATGATTCTAGCCAGATTCATGAGCTCTATAATTTTACTCAATGTTTTTAAAAGCTTTGTCTTGCATAATTTTATCGACGCTTGCTCTTCAAAATAAGTACACTGAACTGAAATTTACAATCCATTTGTTATTGTTTAGAATTTTCTGTGAAATTGCTTTATTTTTAATTATTGTTTCTTGTTGTTAGTTTAATATGGATATCATCTTTCATGTGATCTCTTAGAGAAACTTCGAATGACGATAAGTGATATGAGCACGAAACTCATCGAATAGAACCATGTGTTTGGTTTACCGCCGATTCGGTCCGAATCGGTCCCTTTCTGTTTTCGTCAAAATTGATGATCTCTCACTTCGGTCCTTTCTCAATTTGGTCCTATTCGATGATATCTCATTTGGGTCCCTTCTCTGCTCGGTCCTTTTTAATTGATTCTCATTTCGGTCCTACAATATAATCAGTTCTG